GATTAAGTATTTCGTACAAGAACAACTCTTGGATTCTGCAGATACCCGGAATCTCTTCAACTATAATCTAAATAGAGCTAGTAGAGGGCCATTATTTCCATGGAAGCACAGGAGCGTTGGCAGAGGATGCTTGCTTTGGGGAGAATGCCTTCAGTTTCTCCTGTTAGACAGACCTGATTCAGATATTGTGGTGATACGACAAGGTGAAGATCCCAAAGTGGGAGTTCTTGTGTATGCTTTTCTCTGAAATCTCTTTGCTTTCCATAGGCAAGAACTTCATGAGTAAACATTTCCATTATAAATCCTTTTATATTCTTTTTGAATGAGCTTTTGTGTCAGCTCTCCTATGTTACTATGAAAGGATTAGTGAACATTATCACAACAGAGCATAATAAATTAATGTTTGGCAGCCCAAGTCATTTAAGGGATGCTCAAGGGCTATCTTAAGTTGCAGTAGGCACACAACAGTGTTAAGGCTGAAACTTATGGTGACAATAGCTTGACCTAATGCTTAGAAACTAAGCGTGGAAGTTGGGGCTTAGCTGAAGGTTCCTGCCTCCATTGGCAGAATCCAGAAATTAAAACGCATTCTGTTCATGATTGAATACTTATTATTGAACACAAAGTATATAAAATATCTAGTAGTTTGACACAAAGGTCCCATGATAGATGCTTTTCTTCAGGGAGCATGAGGAAAACTGGTTTTGACGTTACTGCATTGCATTGTGATTGAGAAATTCAGGTTTTGTCTCTAGTCCAGCCTGGCTGGGACATTCAGGCTGTTTTCGCCCTGGTATCTCTCACGGAAAATGAGTGCACTACTCCCCTTAGCCCTGCCTGGTGTGTCTTGGCTGTTAGAAGGCAAGCGCTTCGGGCCAGGGTGTGCTTCTGATTCCCTCTACGCAGGGCAGAGGCAATGACTGCTCGTGGGCAATGCAATACAAATGCTGTGAGCAGCAACCCGCATCTGCATCGTCTGCAGTGCAAGCCTGAGAATCGGTACGGCCCCGCTGCCGGGCTGTGGGAAGCAAGTGTTATTTGTAAGCTGCAAGGTGAAGAGCTCCGGAATGTGATAGACATTGAAGGACATGTTCCAGCCCAGCCCAGACCCGGATTTGTTCTGAAGACAGGGGATGAAGGGATGAAGAATGTCTATGATAGTGGTGCACGCTCTGTAGGAAGTAGACAGGAAGGTCAGCTTGATTTGGCTGATGTTCATACAATATTGGCTGGGGAGGAATTTAAGGCATTTTCTAGCAGCTGCATCTCCTTATTTCATAACTTTTTTTGATGGAAAGAAGGCTTACTGCCTTGCCAAAAACTCACATCTCTGCAGTTCCTGATAACTGCCAGGCTAACAGTTTGAATGGTTCATATGTATTGCTTTCCTCTCGTGATAGTCACTATCTTGCTTAGGACTCGACATTGAACACACCTCGGTTTTGATTTGTTCCACTGTATCCCAGCTTCCCTACTGCCTTTCCCCTCTACTGTCCTCTCAGACCTTGGCAATGCTCGGCGTTCGCTTTCAAAACAGAGTCAAGATAAAGTTCCTCAGTACTGCTCTTTCAGATCTTATCTGCATGGAGCTGCCTCTGACGTGTTCTGCAGACCGACAGTGAGCCACGAGCAACGCTTTTTCCCCTAATCACAATGAACTCGCTGTTAACATGTTCTTTTCCCATTGTTTCTTGCTTACACTCAGGACTGTAAGCCATTCGTGACATGTATACAGTGTTGCACACAATGGGATCCCAGTGACTCAGTAGGGTTGGATTTCTATTACAATAGAAATAATAATGTTAATTTATTATATTGATGCTTTTGAATAGGATTTGCTGAAAAATAAAGGAAATATGGGATGTGGATCATGTTACCATAAAACCACATGCAGCGAAACGTTCATCTGTCTCCAACATTTCATGTCTTCTGGGCATCCGAGATAGTTCAGTTTGATTTACACAATCAAGCCATTCATTAAATATCTTTTTGAGTTTTAGGCAGATGCATCCTTTACCTGAGTGATGAAACCCGACTACAGGAAATGGAGCTATTCCTTTGTGAAAAGACCCCATTCTGCTTTATAAAGTGAGCCTTGCAGCAATATACTTCTAGAAAACTGCCAAGCTTTGTATACCAAATATCGTTGTAAGGGCTCAGCAGTAAAACAGTTGTGGACTTGGGGTTGATCCAACCACACAATAGCACATCTTTATGCAATATTTTCTCTTTCAACATCCATCTCCAACACTAATTCACTGACAACTGTCGGTTCATTTTAATTCCAAGTTCTAGCCCAGAACACAAAGCAGTTTAGTGTCGGTATTCTTGTGTGGGCATATTAATTATTTAAATCACAAGTCCAAATCATGTTCAAAAGAGCGCTTGCTGGGAACCTTTCAGGAGCAGACCGATCTATTGCTTGTTATCGCCTGCTAGATTATACTGTAATTCAGAAGCATGCGCAGTATTTCCTATCAAAAATGCTCTGTATAGCTTGCTGCTGTCAGAGAACAGGGAAAAGTGGCAAATATATGTTAGAGAATATATATATAAAAAATGATGCAGTGAATCAATGTAGTCCCTACTAGGGATTGGCTTGGAAACTTATTAGCTGAGTCATTTTTTTTTTAAATAAAAGTATCCCCAGGCAGATGGGAGAGGCTGGAAAACCTAATGCTGTGTTGAATGAGGCTTCTTATCTTGCAAACCACCTTGCAGATGAATGCATGTGGGGAAGAATCGTGCTGGGTCTGTGATACAAAAGTTTCCGCTGTCTTGGGTGAGGGAAGCAATAGGTCAGTTTTGTCTTGCACGTAGGGGGGCACCTGTATTTTTGTGTATTTTAGCTTTTGTGTTGTTAGGAAAATAAAACCATGAAGTTTTGTCTTTTTGTGCCTGAAACGGGCACAATCCAAGCCAGCTGCTTCGCTGGTAGGGTAGTCATTCAAATGAGAAACATCTTCTGCTCTTAAAAGGCAACTACAATATATTCACTCTGTTGAATAACGAGTCGCGCATTCCTCACTCGCCAGTATAATGGGACCTTCAAAAGTAGAGAAGTTTCACATGACCTTAGCACATACGCCTGACTTTGAGTGCCTTGACGGAATGACCTCCATCCCATTCATCATAATGGCTTGTTAACACTCAAATCCAGTGTTCTGAGGGTTCCCCGCCAATATTAACCCAGACAAGACCCGAACGGTAGGGGCATGCTTAGGCAGAGGTCAGACTTAGCTATGGTGGCTAAATTTCCACTGCCCCAAAGAACAGCCTTGTCTTCTGGGCAGATTTGTCGCTACCCCCCTGAACTGGCATGGGCTCAGAGTCACAGACATGAGCCAGTTACAGAACAGATGAAAACAGGATAGGGTTTGACTTAAAGACACTGCGGGACAATCAAGACAAATGCAAATGAATGCGTACACTACTTATATTACTTGGTATTTACTTATAACCTCCATATTTTATTCATGAATTTTACAATTCCAAATATAATGAAACAGTGAGAGTACTTTATTACAAAGCTTATAAAATAATTAAATATTACACTTATATTTTTTGCCTTTTTTTTTTTTTTACACCATAATTCATACTTTGTGACACTACCATTTTCTTTCCTCAGTTGTCACTTAAGGAAGTGAGCAAAGAAATATAAAGGAAAAGCTATGCATTAATAAATTAATTATTTTACATCAAATAATAAAAAGGACACAATTATTAAAAAAAAAACCCCAAAAATCTTGTAGTTTTTCCTAGAAAAAAGGTTATAATTACACAATGACCAATATCAAGACAGAGCGGTGTAGGTTGAGATATGTTTCCAATCATCATTTCTTAAAGTATCAGAGAATACATGTTTTTAATTTAAATTGTTGCAAAAGGAACTGCTAATTTTAAGTGACCACTGTCTGGCATTAGTGCTGAGCTGGCTAATCTTACACTGAAACGATACTTTAAAAAAAACAGTAAAACTGAACTACATTCATCAAACGAAGTTGTGGGATTGGGTGGAATTAGATAAATATGTCCCTCAAAGGCGCTCCCCAGAAAATTACAGTAGAACACAGCTCTGTCTCAGAATGGGTTTGGCAAATAGGTTGGGTATTTGTTCAATGCAGAAATTTTTAAAATTGTACCACTGGATGTATAGTGTCACCAAACATCTCGATACCGAACGTTTACAAATGGCATTATGTTTACATTTTGTTTGTTTGCTGGTGGATTCTGAACTAAATAAAAGTATTAGGAGAATATATAAAAATAGAATTGACTTTTATTTGGTTAGAGTAAATCATCCACTTCTCTTTTTCAGTTTTTTTTCATATAGCCTGTGTGAATAAATAACTATTTAGAGAAGGTTAGCATGAATTAATGGGCTCTGCTATTCTTGTTATTTCCTTTGGGTAACGGATGAATCAAAATTTGCAGAGAGATTTGAGATTAAAAGGAAGACATTCTTCAGTATCTTAGCATTCAAACAACCTAGCTTCTGAAAAAAACTACTTTAAAATATCAAGTTTAAATTTTAAAATTAGATTATCTAATGAGCATAGAAAGTTGAAAACATAACCATTGAGCACAATAAATCTGAGTTCCTTGAGTTAGTTGAAATATGAAATTCTATTTTACTTGTAACACAGCGATATTTAAAGTCCAAATATTCTAACGCTGAATATTTCTAGGAATACATTTCAAGTTACTAGTTTACCACCTCTGAGTTTCTACACAAAGCAGAAAACGAATTCTTCAAAACAATAAAAACATTAGCATGATGCAAAACTTGCTTTTCCAGCAGCAAGTCTAAAAGAGAAGCACCATATATCTTTGTAGTGCACTATTTACTTCTTGTGGTCACAGGTGTGACGCTGCATTCTCCCAACAACAGCCGTTTGAATGTCTGTCTGTGAAAGTGGCAGTAAACAGCCTCCTTACCCTGGGACGATAGCATCATAAACAAATATGAAAGGAAATGCTTCTGATAGCGGGATCTGTCCTGCTGCCATGCTGTAACCTTCCTCCTCGAGCTCCCAATCTCTTTTGCTTTGCATTCTGGTAAATTAGCCAGCAAAGGCTTCCTTGCCTTAATTTCTTCCTCATAACATAAGACAGTGCAAAATGACACTCAAAGAAAGAAGAACTGCCCCTCGAGTCTCAGTGTTCAAGTGATCCATAGTACCCTGTACTTTAGTGAGGTCAGCAAATAAAGAAAAAAAAAGAACGAACCATTCCTTTTTCAACATATATCCCACAATTACTGTACCTCAGGCATTCCCTTAGAACAAATGTCTCTTCCATCAGTGGTTTCTGTGGCACCATGTCTTGCCTCAAAGCAAAGTTAATTCCAAGATAAATTGAAGACGACAATCCTTTCACTGAAGGGTTCAGATAACACGCTGCTATCAATTCTTCTTCGTGCATGATTTACAACATTGCTTGCCATAAAATTTGTGGTTACAGACACCATGCTGGGGTACCAGATGACACCAAGTGAAGAAATCCACACAAGAAGGATCATCTGAAGGAGAGGAATCCAAGCAATATGGTAAGACCGGGTTCTAGCAAGTCTACAAGTCAGGCAACACTTATATGCGTTTGGTAATATTAAAAACATGATGGGTGACTTAATTCAAAGAAGAGGAACCATGAACTTTCATCTCAAAAATACTAGGTTCTTTTTTAATTTGTTAAGAGATGAAATTTGTTCAGAGATGAAATTTATTCATTTGATAGAGATAGCGCTAATATAATAGGAGGGTCAGAGGCTAAAGGAATTGAAAAATTTAGAGCACACTTTGAAGTTCAGGAAAACAGGAGGACGTTCTACTGTAGAGGATTAAAAAAGTCATCTGTGTTTTCACCTCTGATTACAAATGTTGTTCTAAAGCCAGGTGTTTGTACAGCTGAGCCTGCTCCATGCTTGATGCCGATTGCTTGTTGCCATCAACATCACCTGGAGTTTACCTGCACCTCACAGTAGCGTCAGCTTTGAGTGTATCTGCATGTACACACAGAATGCACGGAAATCTGAATGCATGGACCCTACTCTGTGCACGAAGTGCTCTGCTCTGTGTTTGCGTTCCAGCACTTTCTAGAGGGACTTATTTCCCTCTGTTTGACTATGCAGGGAGCCTGAGAAGTCTCTCTTAAACACTTTAGTTAGGGGGCATGAATCAGGCTTTTTGGACTTCAACTGTGCCATGTTGGTGAAATCTTAATTAATTGCAATGGGAAAAGAGACAGGCTGACAATGCTTAGTACTGAAAAGCCCAGCTTTTAATTACAAATACAAATAAACTGTATTTTTCAATTAAGATTTTATTTCACTTGAATTTATGTGCAGATCATTTATACACACAGCCTAGTTGCTTTAAAAACATTTCATAGCCGCTCCTTTCTACAGTTTGTAGTGGATGCTTTATGTTTCTTTAAAAGAGCAGAGTGATGATTCATATGGATGATTTATAAACAAATTCACCATGTCTGAGAGAGCAGTAAGACATTTAAATGAGGTTTAGCAAAATTTATAGCTAAACTGAAATCTCCTGTGAGCATGGGAAAAGATTCCATTCGACTCTCAGAACTACTGTTTACATGGTCAATAAAAGGAATTTACAAGGAGACAGTGAAGAAAAATCTAGCCACCGTTGTCTGCGTTCTCCGATCAGCTAAGCTGAGTCACGGAAGATAAACGCTCCCTCACATAGCACAGACAACTTCTTCATATTCTGTGGGCCGGGAGCCATCTCCATCTCTCTACAGGGACATTCTTTTGATTAGTCACCACTTCGCTTTTTTTGATTCCCTTTGATATGACGGCAAAGGTGATTTTGTATACCTTTATCACCCTCAAATGTATTTGAATGAATAAGAAAATAATTTAATAATAATTATCTTTTTAAAAGATGCCATTTTATTCCTCAGTTTTTAAAAACATAAGCCTGTCTGTAAATGCTAATGTTATGTAAAGAAAATACTGTCCTTGAACAAAGAGTTGTCCAGGAACTAGGAAGCTCAGTACCAAACTGAGCCTTCCCACTCCGCAGCACTGCCCTCCCATTCTTAACTGGGTGTCAGCAGGATGAACGTGGGACTCCAGGACCAGCTTTCACGTTACTTCACCTACTGTCCACCAGACAGAATTTGCCGCTGGGAGGACACAAAGCAGACAACAGATGAAAAACATCCATGGCACAAAGTGAGGAAAGCTGTTCTGAGTAAGTCAGGAAGAAGCTTTCCTGCCATGGGAGGGTAAATTTTCAAAAATTACAAATTACCATTTTAAAAAAAATTTATAAGCACTGAGGAGGCCATGTTAATAAATCTTTATACCCCTTCTGAAGATCGGAGTGCAATGCTAACATTACAGAGGTACGGCCGAAAACTTTACTCTTGGGACCTAATCCAAAGACCACTGGAATGAACACAAAGACTCTCACAAACTTCAATGGATGTGGATCAGGATGTCAGTTCCTTATTTCTGTTTACTCAAGTATTCATATGTTGTTTAAATTTTCATTCATTTTAAGCGGTTGGATTTACTACGAGTTATGGTGACCGTAACTGCATCTAACAGAGGGATGGGAATGACCCAGTTTGTCTAGGAAAGTGTGTAAACTCTCCCTGAAACATTAATTTCTTGACTGTGATCACTGAGCTGGAGCTGCATGGCTGACAAGAGAGACTGATTTCCTTCAATGTGATTCCAGCACAGCTGGTTCCCTCTCTCTTTGCTGGTTTGGACAGAAAGTTAGAGAGCAGTGAAGAGATAATTGATCTCTAGAGCCTGACGACCTAGTTATAATAAAGGGGAAAGGGCTCCTGCAGATGTTGAGGAGACAGAGAAACAGGCCAAGTGCAAAATTAATAACAGACATTACTCCAGACATGAAATACAGCAGAGGAAGGTAGGGGTGAAAGAAAAGTGCTTGCTGTATCGTGGCAGAGAAGGACAGAGAAGTACAGCACAACATTTTAGGAAGGTTAATTAGCATTTGAAGTGTTAAGAACATTTACTTATAAAACCAGCAGAACTACTTACTTAGCCCTTTTCGGACCATTTCATCTATATATCCTTGTGTGGGTTCAGGCCCCCTGATCTATCAGTTTGGCGCTGTGCATGTCCTGAGCTGATGCAGTAGAACGGTCCGTTAAGATATCACTGGGTTTACAGGGTTTCTGTGCGCAGAACGCCAGGAATCGGTACGGGCGGGAAGGGTGGTTGGCTAATGTCAATTTGCAAGATGCAGGGGCAGAGCTTGACCTTTGTTCCCAACTCTTCTACCGCATTTCTCTTGCAATCTGGCCTAAGTTTTATAGAGGTTACTTTCACCTCCCAGTTTTAAAATGGGAACAAGACAGTTAATGTATGGTATTTTGAAAGTTAACATTTAAAGTGCTTTAGCATACCTAGGTAACTAGCGTTATATGGGACAAACCTGGACCTCCATGAGCTTTTTCCCTGCAGTTACGAGTCCCAAACTGTAACCAGCTTGTAAGCAAGTAGCTGGGATGGGACTAATGTACCTCTCTCTTCCCTGTAGTCATTCTGAGAGAATTCCCCTTCCATCGTTCAGAGTGACACAAACCCTCTTGCTCCTCCTGCTCCTCTAGAATTGCAAAACACACTGAAGAGGTGGAGCGGGATACAGTAGTTACACAAGTAGGGACAGAGCTTGACTTCATGTTCCCTGACTGCACACGATACACTGATCAGAAGCAGTAAGAAAAGAAAGTACATTGTAGACAAAGCATTTTTGGGCTCCCAGGATATGGGTGCAACCTAAAGCTTGGGCAGACTTCAAAAGACTAAAAATAAATGGCAAGTTCTTATTGCTTCATTCAAAAGTTGCTATTTTTTATCATAAAACAGTACCAGCATAGGAACGCTTCTGTTTTATTCAACAAGGTAGTATAAAGATGCAGCTCAGAACCAAATGGCATAACTTTTTGACACACATTTGTTTTTAAAATCTTTTTGACATACATTTGTTTTTAAAATCTCCTGTCTCACTTATACTCTCAAGTCTGCTTTAAGCGGGTTCACTTTGAGAAGAGAGATGCTGTAGTATCAGAGAGTAAATGTAAAGCTGGAAAGTCTGAGAAAAATTCATTTATGAAAGAACACGCCAAATACTAATCTTCAGTGGGTGTAACTGGAAAAGGTGATTTTTGCTGGATATAAACTTCTAAGCAACCACCCCTGCTGCAGCGTGTAGAGCTGAGTTTTACCTCTTTTCACAGGGACGGGGCAGAAATTAGTATTGCAAGCTCTCAGGACAGCTGGTTTCTGATGGGGCAAGCACCCTGAAGCTGGTCTTCCGTGGCGCAGGCACTGTACGCTCCGGGTTTGCACTCCCCCTCCACATGTTACTGTACACTGCAGAGAGGAAAGAAAGTACAAGCCGTCTTTCATTACAGAGACTCTCTGGGAGCCCATGAAAGCCAAAGGAGTGACTTCCAAGGGCTTTGGATGAGACTTTCAAAGAGAGAGAGGTCAGGATCGGATGTCTTGCTGTTCAGCAACCCCCATCAGGACCAGCTTTTCAAAGATGTGTGCATCTGTTCTCCCTTCCAAAAGTTTGGTTATTTAAGGACTCAGCTGAAAATCCGGTTCCTTACTTAGGCATCGAGACAGAAACTGAACATTTTAGAGAACCTGTTCCTGATTGTCTGCACTGATTTCTTTTGAACTCTGAGCCTCTGGGCCCAATCCTCCTGTCTGAACAGAGGTAAAACTCCCATTGGAACCATAATTATGGCAGTATCTGGGGAAAAGCACTATGCGTTTGCAGGAAGATCTATGAAGTATTTTTAAATGAATAAGCCTTTTACTTGTATGTGTTTCATGAAAAGTTGTCTTTAAGATAAATGTGATCATTTTCATCTGATTACAATTGTCAGGCATACATTGTTTCATGTAAATGTTATTAAATGAGTGTGTGTCTCATTGATATGTGACTCATAAAGTAGATAAGTTCCAGAAATACAGAAGCTTGTTTGCAAGAATGTAGAAACAAATACAGACTGATCCCATAATTAATCATAGTATTTAGGGAATTCCAGGCAATCTGTGCAGATGCTCAAATGCATTGTGCTTATAGATATGTAATAGTTCAACCACAGTGCAGTTCGAAGAAGACTGAGAAGAAAGCACTGGAAAATGAGCGTGGAATGTAGTGCCTCTCGAGTATGAATAACATTTTTAGGTGACAGTTTCAGGACAAGGAAGTGAGCTGCAGCAAAGTCCATGATGGGCATGGACCAGCTGCATCATGTTTCAGTGGCTGAGTGGTGCGACCTTCTTTAGGGAATGGCTACGTGCAGGAGACACCTGGGGACTGTTAGTACTGGAGATACCTCCTCCACGCAATCGGACGTTTGGCTACAGCACAATGTGAGACTGGAGCTAGCTTTAATCTAGGTAGCTTGGACTTACATTGCCCTAAAGTCACACTGGTGCGGTCTTCAGCATTTTACGCCCGCCAGGTGTTTGTGTCACTCCAGCTAGCGTCCACTCCATGGCATATGATACCATGGCTTTTCTAGGTTTGGTGCTGTCTTAGCCCAGCACTGCAACCTCACCTTCTAACTGCGGTGGATACACCGGCCAAGAGTCAGCAGTCACATTGCAGTTGTTTTATTCTTTAACGCTGTGTAGCAAAAAGCAGTAGGGGATGCTACTTGAGGTACTGCATAGGGAAACTTGCTCCTTTTGTAAATGCCGTAAAAGCCAAGACATGAAATAGTGCTGCAGAAAGAGTGCTAGCTGGGACAGGGAGAGAGAGAGGTGAGAAAGTTTCCCATTCCTACCTGCTGCCAGGGTGAGGAATACCAGCCAGACACCATGTTATACGACGTTTGTGATGGACAGGCTCCATTGTTACAAGCTTCTTCCAGGTCAGTGTTTGGTTTCTTGATGTTTCTACATCTCCTCTGAGGAAAGGTGATCAATTTCCCGTGGATGCTTTTCTCACCGCATTTTAGTTCTCGCTTTTGTACACCTGGGCCACAGGAGGCTGAGCACTGCAAAGGCAAAGTACACCTTTTAAATCTACAGAAACACAGTCAGATAAAGGAGAATGTCCTATGTGCAAGAGACCCCAAATTATGCAAAACTACAAAAGCATTATATAACTAAAACCACAAAGACCATGTTCCGCAATGCGTAAACTGAAGTATGAACCCACATCAGTGAAAGTCCTGAAAAACAAAGACAGCAGGGTACATCTAACTACATCTGGATGTTTTTATAGTGGCTATACAGTGCCTACAGCACCTGATTTTCAAATGACAGCTCAGCTTTCTCTCCCCTACATGGTCCGTGCATGTCCCTGAGTCAACGTTTCCAAGAGCAGCGAAGGAAGACAGTGAGCCATGTAAGTGCACCACTTTACCTCACTCCAGGAAGAAATCACCCACTGGAGTCGGTCATTTTTGGGGCAGCGTCCTAGCACGCAGGTCTGCTGGGATTCAGGTTTATGGTCTCTGCTGCACATACTTTCAGGCAAGATTTTAACCTTGGGAGAACCAGTACTTTTGCAGTAGACATCCCGTTTCTTAACACCTCTCCCACAAGTCTTGGAGCACTGTGATGGAAAGAAATATTCATTTGAACTAGAGGAAATGAAAATTGGCATTATTTGTATTGTACAGCAGAGCATGGAAACCATGGTTAATGTGCTGCGTTGCTGCCATTATAAGTAAACTTGAAATTCTATTGGTAAATAAGTAACAGTAACATCTGTATGTCACTTCTAAAACATTGTTCTAAGTGCTTTCTTAATGTAAACTACGGCCTCTTACAGCCCCCATGTAGGACAGATAAGTAATATCTCTCTTCCGTAGATGAGGAAAGTTGGAATTGTGAGCAAAATGCTTTTGTCCCTGGATAGCACAGTTGAAAGCTGGTCCTAACCTCCCATCTCAAAATCTCCCACAGCAAGATGTTCTCAGCTATTTGTTATTTTGTCCTCACCTTGGCCTAGAGGGATGAGATAGAGGCAGAGAAAACTACCCAGGGAATCTATACATAACTCCTTCACCAAATTAATCTCACTACAAGACAGAATCTGATACAGACAATGGTTAAAAGTTTGACCAAAGATATTTTAATAGCCAAGATTACAACTGAAGCTTAGGACAAGTCACCAG